AAAAGTTGATTTTTTTAATACCTATTTTAAGTTTTGCGTAGTTTGAAAAGTTTAACATATTTGAAACAATTCTTCTTAGTAAGATATACAAATGAAATAATTAAACCATTGAATGACTATAGAAATTAAATTAACTAGATAGAAATCAACTAAAAATGTTAAAAATAATGTATGACAAGGAAACAAAACTACTTCACAATATCGCTGATGATATTTAGAGAGTGGGTTTTTTAATTTTAACTAGTATTCAAAGCAGAAAAAAGTATAACGAGTTTTAAGAATGGCAACTTAAGCGAAAATAATTAGAGTCAGTAAATCAATATCTAGAAACTTTTCTTTGTATCTAGTTATTTGCTAAAAATATTTGTGTTCTGTCATGACCTCAGGCGCGGTGCTTGTTTATCCGCGAGTTACCTTGTATGCGTTGTTTGTGTTTAGTAACCAGAAACTTCTTATATGTTTGTTACATAATTAGTTTTATTAATTTCAATGATTATTAATAACTTCATTGAAAACGCAATTATTTTTGTAAGCCTTTGCTTACAAATTAAATCATAAAAATTGCTTTAAAAGATTACATTATGATAAAAAACAGATGCACAAAATTGCATTTGCGATAAAAATACATACTTTTACATAAATAAAAAATAAGAATATACTAATAAAATCTATAATTTATAATTATTAATTATTAATTAATGCTGTTGAGATAAAGCGCCAGGCAATATCTATGACAGCCGGAATAAATTAATTAATGAACAAGTTAGTTCAGTCACTAAATAATAAAAATGTTAATAATAAGCTTTCTTGTTTTTTATCTTGTTTGTTATTGCTTCTAAGTCGACCGATTGCAAGTTTAATTTGAAGCTTTTAACTGTAGTAGATTGAACAACTTCGGCTGGTAGACTATTCCATCCATCGACAACTCTATTGCTGAAAAAATATTGCCTTTTCAAACAATTTCTGACCAATTCAGGTTTCATTCGATGTTTTGCTCCTCTAATGTTAGCTGTAGGACCTGATGAGCAAATAGAGTTCATTGTTTGATTTTGTTTAATATCAATGATTTCAATACCTTTAAATATTTTGAATTGCTGGATTAAATTGCACCTTAGCCTTCTAGTCTCCAAAGTAGTCAAACCCAAAATTTCCAATCTTTTTTTGTACTCAAGATGTCTTAGCTCCGATATCATTTTGGTAGCTCTTCGTTGGATTTTTTCAAGTTCATTAATATCTTTTGTATAATACGGACTCCATGCTTGAATTGAAAACTCTAAATTTGGTCTAACATATGTACAATACAGTGTTTTTATTAGATCTTTATCCTTGTACTTGAATGTAATATTTAGTAGTGAGAGTATACTATTTGCTTTACTAGCTGCATATTTTACTTGTTTGGCCCATTTTAAATCACTTGATATATAAACACCAATGTCTTTTTCTAGTTTTGACTTTTCAATTTCCATTAATGTATTGTCATTGTTCATAAAATATGAATATTTGTTATTATTTGAACCAAAGTGCATAATTTTACATTTTTCAAAATTTCCATTTTGTTGACCATTCGTCAAGTTTATTTATATCATTTTGAAACAATTGTGAATTATTTTGAGAAGAAATAGGTGCAATTATTTTATTATCATCAGCATATAAACGACATTCATTAATAAAATTTTCTGGCAAATCATTTATAAATACCAAAAAAAGGAGAGGACCTAGAACAGACCCTTGTGATACACCACTAAGAACATCAACTCAATCTGTCACATTTTTACCTAAAACCACTCTTTGTTTTCTGTTAGCTAAAAAACAGACTATCCACGTAAGAAGTTTACTAGAAACACCAAAAGTCAATAACTTGGATAATAACTTTTTATGTGAAACACTATCAAAAGCTTTTTTAAAATCTGTGTACAATACATCTACCGGTGTTCTATTGTGGAATGCATCTGTTAAAATATCTAGGTATTCTAACAGGTTTGTTGTACAGCTCTTGCTTTTCATAAAACCATGTTATTTCTTTGAAAGTAAATTATTTTTTATGAGATGTTGCATGATACAATCAGCTATTATTCTTTCTAACACTTTACATGGTATTGAAGTTAACGAGACTGGTCTGTAGTTAGATGCTTTTAATTTGCTTCCTTTTTTAAAAACTGGCATTACATTTGCCTTCTTCCACATATCTGGTAAGGTACCTGTTTCCATCGATTTTTTGAAAATTAAATATAATGGGTATGATATTGATGAGCTGCATTCTTTTAAACTTTCAAAATTTTGACAATTTAAATAATATATATTTACAACATTTATTTTTGTAAACAAATAATAATAGTTTATAAGATTTACGGCTTTGCAGAAGTGGCTCCGAGAATGAGCCATAATGATAATATATTCTTAAAAACAATTTATGCTAGAAATCTCATAATGTAACAAATCGTGAATACAATTTATAAAACATTTCAACCGAATAGTCTAGAACTTTATTTTGCTTAGTCAGCGTATTTTTTAAACCAATAGAATTAGTTTGTTCGTTAATTGGCGGGTTTTTAGTGTTCACGAATATTCTTTTTATTATCACGCACCAAGATGTTTTAAGAACGTTTAAGTTTTTTATGTTTCCATGCATGTCAGTAAAACAAAAGTTTTTTGTTTCGTACACAAACTTAAATGTTCTCAAAACGACTTAAAAACCTGGCCAGTTTTTCGCAACTAAATATAATTTCCGTGGTCAGTATTCGATCGCTCCCGCTTCCCGACCAACCCTGCTGATATAGCCGTCAAACAGGTTGATCCATTGCTCAACATCCGTATCACTCCAGCTTCTGTATCTAAGGTGATTTCCTGCTTAGACTCTTCTACAGCTTGAGGCCCGGACAACATACCTGTTATAGTCTTGCAGAAGTGTTCTCCGGAGCTGTCGCCTATCCTTTCAAAACTAATCAACAAGTGCTTATCAGAGTCTTGTTTTCCAGCTTGCTTGCTGAATAAACTGGCTACTGATTTAAGTAGACTAGTTGAAAAATGATTTTTCACTATCTGAGCTCCTTTCTTCAAAGAGTGTGATTATTTTAAAAGAAAGCACTTTTGCAAGACTGCAGCAGGTATGTAGTCTTGCAGAAGTGTTCTCCGGAGCTGTTGTCTATACTCTCATAACTATTTAACAAGTACTTATCAGAATCTTCTTTTCTGGCATGCTGGAAAGCGACATCTGTTATCCCTATTTTTAAAAACTCTGGAGAGCAATCTGATTCGTCTAACTACCGTCCCATTAGTCTTCTTCCTATCATAAGCAAGGTTTTTGAATCTTAAATTAACAAACACTTAATCTCTTATCTTGAAGCTAATAACTTTATGATCATCAATATGGATTTCAATCTTCTTGTTCTACGACTGATATGCTAACAGTAATAACCGATAGGTTTTATCGCGCATTAGATAAAAGTTGAGAGGTTAAGGCCATTGCTCTTGACATTTCTAAAACGTTTGATAAAGTTTGGCATGCTGGTCTTCTCCATAAGCTTTCTTCATACGGTGTATCTGGAAACATCTTTAAGATTATTGAATCCTTCCTTTCCAATCGTAGTATAAAAGTTTTCCTTGATGGACAGCACTCCTCTTCTTATTCTGCAACCTCAGGGGTTCCTCAAGGTTCAATCCTTGGCCCTATACTTTTTTTAATTTACATTAACAATCTTCCAGATATTCTCACATCTAAGGTGGCATTGTTCGCTGATGATACTACCATTTATTCTTGTCATAATAAGAAGCCAACTCCCTCTGATTGCTTGCAGGGGGCATTTGAGCTTGAAAAGGATCTCACTTCTGCTACAGCATAGGGCTCACAGTGGCTGGTAAGCTTTAATTCAGATAAAACTCAATTTTTTTCAGCCAATTGTTTTAGCAATAATTTAGACCTTTCTATATTTATGAACGGTAATGTACTCGATGAGTCTCCTACCCTTTATCTTCTAGGATTAACTCTTATTTCTGATCTTTCTTAGAAACCTTATATCAAATCCGTTGCAAAATTAGCATCTGTTAAAGTTGCATCTCTTTATCGAGCTCTACACTTTTTTACTCTGGATTCTATTCTCTATCTCTATAAATCTTAAATCCGGCCTTGTATGGAACACTGTTGCCACATCTGGGGCGGATCTTCTAATGATGCCCTTTCTCTTTTAGAAAAGGTGCAAAAACGCGTTGTAAACATAGTTGGACCTGCTCTTACTGCCAACCTTCAACCTTTGTCACATCGTTGTAATGTTGCTTCTCTTTCTCTTTTATACAAATACTATAATGGGCACTGCTCCAAAGAGCTAGTGTCTCATGTGCCATCTACTAAAATTCATTCTCGTGTTACTCGTCATTTAATTAAGTCTCCTCCTTTTTCTGCAACTATTCCTAAGTGCTCCAAAAACTCTTATTCGTCTTGTTTTTTTCCTAAAATATTACTGCCAATTTTACTGGAAAATTACCAATAAAATTAATAACGCCGGCGCCACATTTAACAACTAAAATTTATGGTAACTTGTCAACAACGGAGTAGAAAGAAAAAAAAAGAACTTATGCAAAAATTACATTCATTATTAGGTACTGGAGGTTGGGTGAAAATTAGGGCACCTATACCAGTGTCAAAATTAGGCTGAAATTGTCAATACTATATACACTGACCTAATAAAAAAATCCTCTTTTTTAACCTACCTAACTTTAATTACCCAATTTAATTTAAAAACCTGATTTAATTACCTAACTAGATATTTTGTTTTGAAGATACGAAATATCCTACTGGAGACTTATATAAGCATCAGGTAAAGTAATTTTCTTTCTTATTTAATATGCAAAACAAATTGTAAATTTAAATCAAAATATTATTGAAAAAAAAAAAAAAAAAAAAAAACAGAAAATAATAAATTAAACAAAAAATAAAAGATAAAGAAAAAAATCATAGATTAAAAACAATATTTTGACTTAATTATTATAAAACCAAATAAATTCACCTTCAACAACCAGTTGACTTTCTAAATTTGGCTCATTGTCATTTTCTGTTGGAACTTTCCATTTGCAAACAAGATTTTTTTCATCATCACAACTGCCAGTAATAAACTCACAAGGATTTTTTTCACCATTATAACTTTGACCCCAACGAACTTTGGATATTTTTTGTCCCACAAAACTTACTATTACTTTTTCATCATTCATTATAATATGATTAACCTAAATTGATCCAAATTATAAATATAAAATTAGGTAAAACAGTTATATAGTTAACTCCCAATAACTGGAACTCTTGATAACTTGAACATTCAGTAGCCCAATAACTGGAACTCTTGATAACTTGAACATTCAGTAGTTTTCGAATACTTTTCAAATATCACTTGATAAATCCAACGACCACTAAGTCAAAAGTTTTTCTTCGTTCCTTAAAAGTTCAAGTTATCATGAGTTAATTGTGATAATTATTTAATAATTTAAGTTTAAGCGTTGTCATTATTGCTGAATTTCTTTGTGACTGATTTTTTGGTGTTCGGTTCAATTTCTGACCTCGGCATCTTTAAAAAATAGTCAAGTGGTGACAGGTAAAAACATTTTATCTAACGCATGTCAATTTTACCCCATGTGCCCCACATTACCTTACCATTTTATTGAAATGTGTACTCTCGAATCGAGAGACTCGATCGAGAGTCTCGATCAAAAATCTCAATCGAGAGTCTCGATCCTTAATACAAAGGAGGGAGAAGGGGGGGGGGGGGGAATGAAGGAGGGGGGGGAGGGGATTTAGTCCAGATCTAATAAATTGGAAGGGAAAGGAGGAGGGAGGGGAGGGGGTTGAAAATTTTTAATGTTACAATATAAGTACTTTTTATAAAAAATTTAATTCTATTTAATTCTAAAGTGGCTTGCGGTCAATTGCGCATTTTTTAACACCTGAAAGTTTTTATCAGTGACTGAAATAATTATTTTCTAATTTTTAAGGCCGATTTTTTTTTTGTTGTTGTTGTTGATAAAAAGTAAAAATTAACAAATGGGGAGGTTTTAATAAGCATGGGGAGGGTGGGAAAGTTTCCCAAAAGTTAATAACCTCCACCCCTACTTATTAAAGACTCGAGAGTATTAAGATTACTAGTATCATAGCTGTCGGGTTTTGAATATTGCGCTGACGTATTTTTCACCCCTCCCCCTAATTAGTCCGTAAAAAAACGAGTCACGTTTTGCGCTAAACATTTATTCAAAACCATTACGCAAAACATTTATTCTAACCCTAAACCCAACAAGAAAGTTTAATCTCTTGAAATTGATACCCTAACCAAACACTGAGCCTAACTCTAAGGGTCAGGGTTAGGGTTTGGTTCAGGTATGGTTTTCAACAAAATTCGTTTCGTATAATACTTTTTTATGAACTTACTAAAAGGAAGCCTGAAATACACGTCTGGCGAACAATTTGTACAAAGGAGACTTTGTCTTCTCCCATTCTTGATTTCCTTAACCAGCATTTAATGTAATAGATATCTCATTAGAGTTTTAGTAAGAATTCCAATAGATAAATGTTCTAATGATAAAAACTTTCCTTATCTTGATTTTAAAGTTTTGTATTTCTTTACAACCTGGGTAACATAAATCTACTAGATAAAATGACTGATGTTTCAAATACATGTACCATAAAGCAAGTAAATAAGTGGATTAATTCGTTGTGGAAATTAGTTTGAGTGTGCAAGTTGCCAATACTTGCACACTCAAACTTGTACTTCATGAAAATATTTACATTTACTTTATGCTTTTCATTACAAAATGACTTAACTTGTCTGTTTAAACCAGCCATTTAAAATGGCAGACTAGCCCACCGATCCACCGTCCATCTGGCCGGTGGGCACCTTGAATTAATTTTAAAAATGTATGTATGGCAGGGAAAAAAGGTAAACATTCATGCTTTTGACTTAACTGTCCACATTTTTTTAATTCCAGAATTTGGATTGTGTTTTAGTTGGAAACTAGACCTAATTCAGTGGCTTAGTTAGGCATTGTGGGTCCTGAAAAAAAATTATTCACGGGTAATATTTAGCCGCGTAATATTTAGTATAAATTCCTATCTTTTAATTTGTTTTTTACTATAACTTCAGGTTTTGCATAGCGTAACATGCATAATATACTATTAAAAATTAAGTTGAGCTCATTTGATATTGGACACAATTATCGTGTCATGTCAATAAATAGTTTTAAAATCAATTTTGCTTGTTTTATCTTTTAACATGAGTTTGCAACTGTTTGTAAAGATTTATAGACAACATTTGGAAGACATAGAATAACATCGAGCCTGAAGCCAAAAGAATAAGTGAAATTCTTATTTTGTGAAACTATGCTCCATGCCTAATAAAAGTGCATTATTATTTTGCCTTTAGGTACAAATTAAGTTATGCATCATACATATTTGTATGATTACATTTTTGTAAACGCTAGTGATAATGTTATTGATACATTTAGTTTTTAATTATATTTAAAAAACCGTAAAAACCAAGTCTTTGACAGTCTCTAAAATATTGTAGCCTCTTAATAAAACAACTCGATAACAGGTAATGTAATGCTTGTTGTTAAAAAATGTAAATATTTTTATTGTTTTACTTAATTTTTTAATGAACATTCTTATTTATTTAATAATTTATCAAAAATATTTAATAAGTTTTATTTTTACATTCAAAGGGCGAGGAAGTAAAAGAAATAATTACCCTCCTTAAAAAGTTAAGCGTCACAAAATCCTTGATAAAATTTATATACATATAAAACAAATTTATTAGCAAGCTATTTTATTAGGACTTGATATCGTTTAGATTTACAGAATGCAGCAATTGCTTTTTTAAAGAAAGTGGTTGTTGAGTTCTTAATATTTTAACGTTTTTGAAGAAAATCAAAGAAATTTTATTAACATTCTAAAGTCAAAAAAGTAAGCCTAGTTTATTATAGAATTAAAGAACAGTAGAAGAGAACAAAATAATTTTTTCTTCAACCTACTTAATACTGAGTAAATCTTAATGACTTTGGGCAGAATTGAAATGCATTGTTTTTCAAAAGAAATGGCCTTGGTAAACAAAACTGGAAATTCAAAAGAAACTAAAAACGTTTCAAAGAGGGTAATTACATCTTATATACCGTAAAACGGGGTGACCTTGATAATTTTGCCTATTAGTTATAAAAGTATTGATTTGAAGATGTAATTGCCAAATTAGAAACTTTTTTTTTCTACTACATTATTTTATTCGGCGTATATTTTTGAATTTTTAATGATTGTTAAGTGATTCTAACTTGTGCAAATGTGTTGGGATAAACATGACTTAAACAACAAAAGTCTATACTTAGATGTTCAAGTGGTATTATCCAATTATAATACCACTGTAATATACCACTCATTTTTAGTTACTCCCAATTACATTTGCAGAAAATTCAAAACAATTTTGTTTTTCACTTTTTCAAATAATTTTCAATATTTGATATTTCAATCTTAATGTGATTATTTAATGTTTTAAACAATTATTTCTAGTTAAAAAAGACATTAAGACATAAAATATCACAAGAAGAATTGCAGAAGAAATCACGAGAACTTATAAACTTAAACCGTTTCTATGCATTGTATCCAGAAGAAGCCATGCAAAATGCCTTGTTAAATATCTCAACTAAAAGAATATTGATTTTTAAGGCATCCAATGGTATACCATATGGTACTCTGTACAACAAGAGTAAACTAAAACATATGAAAAACTTTGATCAAAATTCAGTATGTTCATATTTCGACGAGTTACCCATTACACTTTAAGAGATTCCTAATACCAATATATTCAAATATGATGAGACAAATGTGAGCGATAATCCAGGCTATAAAATAGTAGTTTGTAAACGTGGCCTAAACGCGTAGAAAGAAAAAAGCAGCATTCTAAAGGAGCTATTAGTATTATGTACTGTGGGAGTGCAGCTGGTCAGTTTCTTTCTCCCATGCTTGTTTATAAAGCTGCAAACTGATACAAAGAGTGGACAAATGGTGTCCCACCTGGAACTATGTTCGACAGTTCAAAATCTGGTTGGTTTGACTAGAACATTTGAGCGTTGTTGAGGGAAATTTTAATTCCTGAAACAGCATCTCTTACTGAAACTAAAGTTGTTATTGGGGACAATTTAACTTCACATTTTTTATCTGATATCATCAAAGCATGCTTGGAAAGAAATATCCGGTTTACATATTTAATCCCAAATGCCACACATCTGCTACAACCGCTTGATATTGCTGTTTTCAGATCCTTGAAAGTTGAGTGGAAGAGAATTTTACAAACATGGAGAAGAGAATCATGAATCAAGGGTTTAATTCCAAAAAACCATTTCTTAGCGCTCTTGACAAAGTTGCAAAATACTCTAAAAGCAGACAACTTAAAAGCGGAATTCGAAGCTTCAGGCATATATCCATTGAATCGAGAAAAAGTGTTAAAACGGCTTCCAGATGTCAACAAAGACTATGGTGTTAAGACCATAAAAGAAATATTAAATGAGAGTGTAGTTGTTATTCTCACGAAGTACTGTGGCAATGATGCAGCAGGAAAAACCAATAGAAAAAGAGGGGAAAAATTGTACCAAGAAAATTGATCACATTAGATGACATTGATTATAGACAAGTATCAAAACAGAAAAAAATCCAAAAACCAATAAATTAAAGGCAAAAAATCAAAAATAGCTTCAAAGGATGTTGAATCTTTGTCTGAATTAGAAGACATTGAAGTTGGTAGTAGTGGTTATCCCAATGAAAGTAATGACAAGAAAGATGTTGATTTAAATGAAAAAAAAAATATTAATGGCACTTGTAAAGAAAACTTAATTAATAAGCTTTTAAGAAATAATAAACTATCAAAGTCACCCCCCAACGAATGATTGAGATTGATAACATTTTTGACTTAAATATATATATTAGAACCAAAAAAAATATATATTTAATGGAATCCTATGAAGGAACGGTATTATATTATATCGAAAAAATAAAATTCAAAAAAAAATTTATACGAAAGAGTTTATTTGCAAAAATGCTCAAAAACCTAGCAAAGTCTCTCCGTTTGACGGTACTACCTATAAATGGAAAAAGCGAAACCACTGTATATAGACTTAATGATTAAACTAATATGACAATTTTTAAATCATTTATATATACATGTGATACATGGGATTTTCGAAGTTAAAGTTAATCATGATGAGATTGTGAAATTCTTTTGAAATGATCTCTTAGATATGTTAATGTCTATGAAGAAAAGTCAATTTGATAGCCCTGAGTGTGATCATTCAGAAATACGCATCTTCGTTCTCTGAATTTAGCTGATTGAATAATAGCTATTGCTATACTATGCACATCACTCGGTACTTTTTTAAACCATTATGAATTAATTAGTTTGTGATTCCAATCGTCATGTTAGGGATTATTTTTTGGAAGTTGTGGACCGGGCCGTTTTAGCGATATGTGTATGTTAGAAGAACCACTTAATTATTTGCCTGGCCGGTAAAATATATTTAGCCAGTCCGCCAATGGTCATTTTCTTCATTGATTATTTTCTCCATCTTTCATTTCCGAACTTTGAGACAAAAAAGATAGATACAAATTTAATTTAAACTCACATCATAAATCAATACCAGTGAACTCACATCATAAATCCAGTGAACTGAATGAAACTTAATTACCTTATAAAATATTTCTGATTGCAAAACAAACAAAAATTAAAAAATTTTATCTTTTAGATAATTATTCAGAATAAAAAAAAATAAATCGTTTAGTAAACGTTTAGCAATATTTCTAGCTGTAAACATTTAGCAACATGATTTTCTAGCTGTATTACAAGTAAACATTTAGCAATATGATTTTCTAGCTGTATTACAAGTAAACATTTAGCAATATGACTTTCTAGTTGTACTATAAGTAAACATTTAGCAATATGATTTTCTAGTTGTATTATAAGTAAAAATTTAGCAATATGACTTTCCAGCTTTATTATAAGTAAACATTTAGCAATATGATTTTCTAGCTGTGTTATAAGCAATATGACAAATATCAAAATAATGTTTTCATTCTTTTTATTTGCTTTAACAAATAAGGACTTAACCTTGTCATTGTTTTTATCTACATCCAATGAAATGGAGCCAAACCATGAAATTTCATACTTACTCATATCAAAATCTATTTAACTAAATATAACATAAGCAGTTAAAAACTTGCTCGAACACATGGCTGAAATTTTTTGAAAACAGCTTATTTTGATTATTATTGTAAATTTGAAAAGTAACTAGAATCATTTTTTTTAAACCTTGACCGTTGCTCTTATAAATATCCCAACTTAAAACAAATGGTTGTATTTGATTTATTAGCACTTGTTGTAAATCTAAACAGTCTTGGTTTAAAACCTAAACAAGCTATGTTTAAAAAACATTCCACACAAATCTGAGTTAGGAAAACATTCTTTTACAAATGAGGTGATTAGCTGTTGCTATTGGAAGATTATGCTCAGCTAAAAACGTAATAATAAAGTAATAATAACGTTTTTTTCGTGTAAAATCATCTTTGTTTTTTCATACAATTAAAAGTTAGATGAAAACTTAGGTGAGTTATTGTTCCACAGACAAGATCGCTTGCCCGCCATGACTTCATAAAACGTCTTTAACGAAGATTTGACATTAATAATAACTTTCTCCTTACTGATAACTTGCTGATTTTTCTAAATTATTATAAAAAATCACTTTTAAATGAACTTATATTATGTTTTATATTGGAAAGAACTAATGTATTTTATTTGGATTAGATTTTCTATAAGGCTCCAGTAATTCATTTTTTTTACTGTTAAATAAAGAAAACTAGCTGTTCAGACACGTCTTGATGGGTTTGTTCCACACCTTCCGTCTATAAACTTATTTTTTATATATTCAATTTATTTCAATAAGTTCATTAAATACTAAAAATAATTACGTCTAAAAACTTGCCTTCCAGTTACACTGGTGGCCAAAAAGACCGCCCAGGTTTTATGTCTTGTCACTCAAATGAAACCTTTTTTATTCAAGAATAATTATCTTGTAACAATAGAAAAGTTTTTTTTAGAATCCGAACAAAGTGCAAGAACTCATAATTGGGTAAAAGGGGTAAAATTGAGAGAATTTTAGCTCATTCAATGCAAACTGGCATAAGTTCAAACTGGTATAAGTGTGAAGCAGTTTCAAAAACTGGCATAAGTGAGAACTAGGATAAGTAAAGTTAGACAAGAATGAAATCCCAAGTTAGTATATTGAATGAAATTCTAAGTTAGTTTGTTGAACAAAATTAAATAAGTTAGTATTTTGAATAAAGAATAACAAGTTAGCATGGTGAATAAAACTTACCAAGTAAGCATGTTGAGTTAAATTAGTGTGTAAAAGTCACAAAAAAAAATAAAAAAAAAATTAAAAAGCAACATAAAAATAAACCAAAACCAAGAACAATAAAAACTAAAACTAAACAGTAAAATGATACATTTTTTGACCCTATTTTTATATTTATAAGAATAAACCGGTCACATTATGTTACCTGAAAAAAGTGCATATTAAACAGAAGAGTTAACAGTCAGTCAAAAAGCTTTTGTTTTTGAATACATCTTTTTTTTATTATATAATAATGTTTTATATAAACAGCAAAATTGGTCACCTTGTTGTTAATTGACATTTTGTCTTTTTTTAAAAAAATCAAAAAATGCTGCCGTGATCCCTGTAATTTTAAATGTGTTATGTGTTACATTTTAACTGAACAGCAACATAGATAAAAATAAAAAGTAAAAATAAACTTAGTTGCTTGAATTTTTAATTTATTTAAAACATTTATTTTATTTCTACCTTAATAATATAAAACTACGGACTATTGTTTCTTTTTTTAGCTAAAACTTTGTATTTTCTTCGCTTGTATTATAAGGTAAATAAAGATTCGCCAATAACTGCATTGACCTTGTCAGCTTATCTATAAAATAAAATTTCAAATATAGCAAACTAAATAAAAACATAGGTAAAAGGCTAACATTTTTTAATTTGAGACATTTATAAGAACTAAACGTTTTTCAATACTTAAAAATATCCCAACAAAAAGCAACTTAAATACCATTGTCAAATTTTCAGTACCAAATTTATTTTTACCTTGATAAAAAAAGTTGTGCAAAACTATTTATTGGATCGTTAAATGAATACTCTAAATTAATTGGGTTATCTAACCATAAAAATGATGAAAACATTTGCATCCACCTTAAAATATTTTCGAACATTTAAATTAAAATTTACCAAATAGTTTCATCAATGACGGCGCCAAAATTTTATATTTAACAAATGCAAAGTATAGAGGAATTCCAGTCAGTATAACAAGAAGACAATAAGTTGATTCCAAAGGCTTTTCGGAGAATGGTGCAACTACAAGATATATAGATACCAACAGCACAATAACTGGAATCCCAATGAAAATCTTTTGTACACAACGCATTAAATTCAAAAAAAAAAATAAAACAAAGGTTACTTTTTACAACAATTTTAGTAATAAAGTTATTTTATATTTATTATATTATTATATTATGTTATGTTTATATGTTATATTTATTATATTATGTTATATTTATTATTATATTATGTATTGTTATATTATATAGTTATGTTATATTTATTATAATATTATATTATGTTAGTTTAAAAAAAAAAAGTATATATATTATTTATTTTTCATAAGAATAAATAAAGCTTCAATTAACTAAAATAAACTTAACTTACATGAACTAAAATATTTTTACAGAATTTTTTTAAAGCTTTTAAATATACCTTAAAAGGTCGTTTTATATCGGGTTTCTTGTATCTCATCCATAAAAGGGCAATAATAGATAAACTATAAAATATCCACGCAGCAAAATTAAAGTAATTTATAAGAGTTGTGAAATTAGAAGATTCAGGGATCATCATCACCCAAGCCAATATACACTAAAAAAAATAAGAAAAAATACAATAAAGAGTAATGAAGTATAACTATTAAATAACATTTTTATTTCTTTCTGTTGTAAGTAATTTAAAAGATTTAAATTAATTTAATTTATAATTCATTGATAAGCATTCAGTTCAAACTCTCATCCTTTAAGTAAAATAAAAATACTTAAATTGAAGAAAATAATAATCAAATTAAAATGCAAAATATTTGAACTCACTATTAAAGCGAGTGCTGGAACTGGCGTTTGCTGTTCATAATGAATCATAGCTAGTGCTTGTGGTAAGTGCTTCTTTCTCGCAGCCACAAACACTAATCTAAAAAAAGTTATTCAAATAAAAATTTAAAAAAAGTTATTCAACCCTATTAGCAATTTAAGCATTAAAAAAAATTACTGAAAAAAGTTGTAGAAGACATTATGAATTTATTCCAATTGTTATGGGAAATAAGAGATTGGAAATAACGATTAATGTCAAAACAAAACGCATTTAAAGCATTCAAACGCATTTAAATTTTAACAAAATGTTTTTTTTTTTAACATTTTATTTCAATAATTACGTTAATAAGCTTTGAGTTGCAATAATTAAGAAAAAAATAAAGCATCCAAACAAAAATAGTTGGGGGTACACATTCCGTGCTTCATTATCTTTACAATTGTCATTTTTTACAATTGTTGATTTTGTTGCTTCATTTTTTACGATTGCTGATTTTGTTGCACGTTTACACTGTGAAAACCATTATCAGATACACATAATATAACAAAATAACAATTCATACTCTTAGCTTTATATTTTACCCAGAGGTTTTTAGAAAGAATACAGTTTGATTGTTTGTTTATTCGGTTATACTGATTCAAAAACAGTTTTCACTTGATGAAATAACGCTGATAACACATATCTTTAATACTAAAATTAAGTTAAACTTAATCCACAAAAAATAGGTCTGGAAGATATGATGTAAATTAGGGATGTCCCGAATTCCGGCCAGAATATATGATTTTTAGGTCATTCTGGTTCCGGTCGGAACTACTATATTTAGGCCAGAGTGCCGGAATTTATTTTTTTTACCTTCTTTTTAAGACATATGACAGAGGCTGTGTAAAATAAATCAAAAAATCATTATCCAACAAGGCAATGAAGAACTATAGGCATACCTAGGTAAAAAATACAAAATTCTCAACAAACACAATGTAATTTTATTTGCAGTAATCAGTTATGTAAGGATTTCTAGAAGTTTAGGAATATTGTGGTGCAAAAAAAAAACTGCTATCCAATTTTGGGCAATATACAAGCTCTTTTTTCATCAAAAATGTTACCTGCCTCTAAGAATAGTTTCGTTTTAAATGTTTCTTAAATTTTAAATAATTTAAAAGTATAAGATGCATAATACAGTAAATATTTTAAATATAACCTAAATGGAAGAAAATGGAAAAAAAAACAAACTGTTTATATAAATAATATGCAGGTTAATACTTTCAATAAATAAAATTGTAGCAAACAAATAAAAACAACATTTAGATTTAAATGAAACAAGAACTAAAGTAATAAAATAGGTTAAAAACTAATAAATATAATTCTTGTTAAAAATTTTATGAATATAATTCTCGTTCCGGCCGGAATCCCGGCCGGAATTTTATTAACAACTCAGAAAAATTCGGTTCCGGCTGGAATTTAAAGTTTCCAATTCTGTACACCTCTCAGAAACGCAACAGGCACTTTTATTGACATAAACAACATGAGGGTAGCAGTTTTACGCAAAGTATGTTTGTGCTACATCAGATAATATTTTTCATAAGGATATGTTAAAAAAAACCGGGGTGTTCCTCCATATGTGGTTATGCCCCTACTTCCTCTACATAAAAATTGAATAGTTAATAAATAAAAATTCAAAAAACTTTGGAATTCTTTCAGAAATATAAAGAAAGATACAAACTTGAAATTGTGCACTATAAACAATAAAAAAGATAAAGACTGAATCACAAAAGGAGTTTTGAAAATCCTGAAAAACACTAAAACAATCAAATAAACTTCTACAAGCTTTGAAATTCTACCTTGTACAAAAGTTAGCTCCTTAAGAGGTAATAATATCAGAAAAAAATATAAAAACGGTTTTTTTTTGCCTAAAATTAAACAAATCCAACAACGCCTTTGGAATCTTATTTGAACATTTAAAGAATGCGAGATGTAAAGCATTAATAGAATGGCTCAGAAATTTTTTTATCTTTTCTAGTAATCTTGGACAGACCCCTAAATTGATGTCTACATCACTTATTGTACCACTTGTTAATAGTGTTGTGACCAAAACCAAAAATTGTAACTAACTAAACTAAAAATACCGTAACTAAAATTAGTTGACTAACTTTTTATTTAACTAAAATTAGTTGACTAACTTTTTAGTTAACTAAAATTACCCGACTAACTTTTTAGTTAACTAAAATCAGTCGACTAACTTTTTAGTTAACTAAAATTAGTCGACTAACTTTTTAGTTAACTAAAATTAGCCGACTAACTTTTTAGTTAACTAAAATCAGTCGACTAACTTTTTAGTTAACTAAAATTACCAGACTAACTTTTTAGTTAACTAAAGTTAACCGACTAAGCTTTTTGTTAACTAAATATACGCGACTTTGTTTTTAGTCCAACTAAAGAATTTTATAAATATATAATATAAATAATTTGGGTTCATGATATCATTTCTATTAGAATTTTTGAATAAGATTGCTAATGCATAATCATTTTATCGCATAATACCGAAAAAATAAAAAAATATCAAAATAATTTTCTTTCAATTTTCAGTTCCAAAGGTTTAGTATCAGTGTATCAAGATACTTCAAGAAACTTTTTCATAAAAAATCCAAAAAGTAAACATAGTAAAACACAAATATCCATAGAACTGAATAAGCTACCAAGGCTAACGCAAAGGGGTGTAAGAATGGTTTGGTTGGTTTCGTGTGTGACATCCCATCAATGAACTTTTAGCTCATTTAGTAAGCCAATTTGACTCTTTTAGATAAGTAAGTTGGCAAATGTAGATTTTCAGAACAGTCAGTTGGTAAATTAAAAAAAAAAAGAATTTTTTTTCCTTTTTCTAGTAAGTAAAATTTTAACGGCACTCTCTACGTGTTACCTACTTGTGCCGGCCCTGTAAGCTACAGTATATTACAATAATTCGGTTTTGTTATGTGCCACTTTTTTGGATCCAAATTATAAAAGTTTTCAATTCTTTGAAAAGTAAAAGGTAAAAAATTTTTTTAAATGCGTTAGAGAATTTTTGTCGAAATTTTATCAAACAAAAAAAGTTTGTGATATAATTCTATTTAAAAAGGTGACAAACAAATTAAAAAAATTTAAGTTATCATTTGACTTGAAGATGATATTTCTGAAAACGATAGTGACAAAATAATAAGTTTAGATTTAAAAAGAGAAATTAGTGGTTATATAAAATTAGAGATTGAATCCATTCATATAATATGGCAGGGGACAGGGCTGTACTGAACAACGAAAGCGTAGGGGGAGGGGGTGCAAATGAAATAACCTTTTTTACCATAAAAATCTCACCAAAATAGGGCTTTTTTTTATTTAAAAGCCAAGTTTCAATTTTAACCGACCGAGTCTCAAATTTTTTAAATTACCGAGAAAACCAACAGAATGTTGTAAACCCGGGAAGGTATCCATACTCACGTCGGTACGGCCTAGGCAGGAAAGATTATTTTTGATTTGCGATTGTTATTGCACACTACCTATAGGAAGCAGCACATAAAAAATATAAGTTAAACGTTCAATAAGCGTACCAAACTTGATATAATTGACTAAAGGGCATTATTTGTATATTCCATACTGATTGGAAGTTTATAAACAGTTGCAACAACTTCATAAGCAGTTGTCTCAGAGCTAGGAAAAAATTAAAATAATCGAATTTTGCTTAAAACATTTCTTTTGAATAACAGTTTAGTTCAACTGGGCTCTAGGATTCACAACTAGTAAAGTGTTTAATTACGATAAAATAATATTTATCGCCTTTATAATGCTTCCTCGTGTGTAAAATTTTTATGCGAAAGATTATTTCTTTTTTCAAGCACTAAATCTTGCTTTAGTCGACTAAATTTAGTTACACTAAATATTTAGTCGACTAATTTGAGTTAGACTAAAAAGTTAGTCGCTTAATTTTAGTTAGCTAAAAAGTTAGTCGGGTAATTTTAGTTAGCTAGAAAGTTAGTCGGGTAATTTTAGTTAACTAAAAAGTTAGTCGACTAATTTTAGTTAACTAAAAAGTTAGTCGCGTAAATTTAGTTAACTATTAAGTTAGTCGACTAATTTTAGTTAACTAAAAAGTTAGTTAACTAATTTTAGTTAGACTAAAAATTTAGTTAAGTATTTTTAGTTAGACTAAAACTAACCTTAACTCCCACCCCTACTTGTTAAGTCGTAAAAAAATTGTTAATTGATCCAAATAACTTTGGATCAACTAACAAATTGATCAATTAACAAAAAAAATTGGAATGATTAGCATCATTCCAATTTTTACGAAACTAATAGAAAATTTTATCCTATTAATCTGTCCAGAAATAAATTCATTCATTCAGAAATAAGTTCATTCTCTTCTTCTCCTTCTCTTCAGTTTGGTTTTACTTATTTTGATAAAATTAGTCATCCAGGTTTTACATGGGATATAAAATGTTCACCTTTTGCCTCACTTAATTGTTTAAATATTGATCGCCAAATAACCAATTTCCAAAAAAGTATTCCAAAATTTAATTCAATCAGGAATCCATTTTGCTAAGCTAAACTCTATTGCCCAGTTATATAAAACTTTGGCTGTTCCAACATTAACCTATAGTCTTGAGCTTTGTAAACATAAAAAAATATTAATACAAAAGCTTGATATGGTTGAAATAAACACAATGAAATCACTCCTCAACTTTTCAAAACATAGCAAAAATTTTGTTCATCCCTTATTTTTTATTGAGGATATATCAATAAATACACAATAAAACAAGCTAAACTTATTTATTCACCTGATTAACGACAAAATGACAAATGATATTGTTAATTCGCAGCTGAAAAGCAAAACATCTCCACAACTTTTTTTAAATAGTCTCAAGGGTTTATGCAATAGGCATGAACTAAATTTAGAGAAATTAATGCAAAGTAAAAAAAAAAAATCTTTGACTTAAAAAATGTAATTCCTGAAACGGATCTTCAAATTATAAAATGTGCAGTTGAGTATGCAGTTGTTCTTTTGAGTGCTGGAACTCAAAAGAACAATGAACAATCTTCATGGACATTTTTGAAAAAAATATTCCTAGGCGATCATGCTTGAAAGGAAAAATTGAAAAAGAAAGAAAAAAAAATTCAAGACTTTTTGTTTATCCTGAATGAAACTTTAATTTACCTTACTTGTATAGTAGGTGTTTAGCAAATAAATAAATTTAAAAAAATAAAAATAAAAAAACATTTTAATTCATACTACGTCACTATAATTTACTACGTCACTATAATTTAATATTTTTTTATTGGAAAGATTTTTTTTTTAAAGGACATACACAGTACAAAGCACATACACAAGTAAAAAAAATAATATAATCTGACGTTCAAAAGTTTTAACCGATTTTACAACCTCCTCACAAGAGGTGTAAGTTTTCTTTGGATATAATATTTAATCATATTATTATGAAATAATGTGAATGATGAATGTATATGAAATAAATATCTATTAGCATCTAATTTTCACGTATCGTTACAATAACAATATCTCTCCTGCAAGGTTTATCAACAAGTTTGAAATAAATAAAAATGAAAATTATCATTTAAGAGCTAGTATGATGAACAGTCATAAACTGCCTTGGATAATTATTAAATATTTAGAATATAAAATTTCATATCGAGGGCTAAAGGTATGGAATACCATTCAAAAAGAACTCAAGGTTATGTTAATTATGTTAAGTTCATTCAAGTTTTATTTTAACTGTTTGTTTCTTGCATAATAATTTTATTAGCGCACCAGATATTTTATTACGAGATTTTATGAGATTTTTCAAAACGTAAATTTTTAGTTTATTATTTAAGTAAAATTTTAAATAAGGCGTTTTTACGCCAATATGGTAACCTACCTTCCACTAGTAAATGCTATACCGTTTGCCGAGCCGAACGTAGACAAAGAAACAAATATCGGTATTATGAAAGAATACTTGCCATAGACTCTGTTAGCTAAAGTCTAAAAAAAATTTTTTAGATAATAAATGCAGGTAATTTTAATTAAGATCAACAAAAACACAATACAAACATACTACAGCAACCGCACTTGAGTTGGCAATTTCTGCTGATGTAAGCACAGTGAGATAAGCTACATTAATAAGTGCATAACAACCAGTTACTAAAGGAATTCCAATTATAATTGCTAATGGAAGATTGCGGGTTGGATTTTTAAGATCTTCAGTAACAAAGTTAAGATTATTCCAACCATCATACGCCCACAAGCCACCGTAAAATGCGTATCCTATACTTGATAAATGTGTTTTTGTTCCATTAAATGAGTTTTGAAATTCACTGTTGTAACCTAATATCATAAATATGACACACAAATATCACTAATATTGATTTTAATTTTAGTTTTGAAAAATAAATATAAGTAATAAAACTCAAATATATCATTTTTATTACTTGTTGTTTTTAAGATACCGTAAGTTAACCTTCACGGTAATGAGATTAAATTACTTCTTTATTAAAAATAACTTCAAAAGACTCTATTAAACTACTTTGCACATTGTATTTTATATTTGCCATTTTTATATATATTTTTATAAAACACAGAACTTGTAAATATTTGTACGGTTAAATAAATTAGAAAAAAAAAAAAAAGCAAACTTGATTAGGTTATTCAAAATTAAAAACAGCTTAATAAAATAGTACATTTAAAAATTTTGTTTCTTTTCAAAAAAATATTATTCATTTTGTCTAAATTACTGTTAAACAATAACCACTTTACCTAAATTAGGTACCATCTAACTTTACCTAAAATAGGTACCATCAGCTAAATATAAAAGATTAAATTCATTGGTAGCATCATTTAAGATAAATTATTATCAAATACTATTATTTGAAAATAGATCCTTACTATTACCACCATTGTAAGCCAAATTATAGCCAACCAAATTATTTCAAGCCAAATATATTAACCAAAAATTTCTAGGTATAAAAACTAAAAAGGTTAAACTATTTTTAATTTATCAAAAAATCTTTTTTTTTTCGATTTAAAAAGGTTTATTGATAATGGTCTTAAATTAATTATTAATTAAGAAAATTAAGTAACGGTTTTTTGGTAATCAACCCAAACGCACAACTTTTTGAACACCTTCATCGTATAAATAGCTGTGGCGTAGTGCTTTGAGTTGTGACTCAAGACTAAAACTTTAGAGGTTCAATGACAATAATGAACATTATATTACATATGATTTGATGTATGATTTATAAAGAAAATCATAATCAACACTTATGATTTGAAAATAATTATTTATGTAAAAAATTTATTTAGGACATTTATGATTTTATAATGATGTTTGATGTTAGCTATTATCTAGTTTTGACATAAAGTATATTTTGTGACTTGTTAACTCGGAATATATGGAATATGGAAGAAAATATGGAAGAAAAAAGATTGTGTAAGCTAGAATATTTTAATCTATGTAATGAACAACTTTTGCTTAAAACACTTACAATGTATCATTAATCGAGATTTATTGTGGATTGGATACATTTGTGATGGGTTGGATATATTTACTAATGTGTCAACTGGCTCAAAATACGTTAACATTGACAATAATACCCAGAGAGAATATGGTAATAAAATAGTATCTTGATTTATTTAACCTGAATTACAATTGATTACTGTTATCAATCAAAATACCTAATTAAAACCTACATCTGTCACTTTCTAAAAATATCATTTTTTATCAAATATATAACTAGGATATATTCAAAGCTATTGATTACAAAATTTTATAAGAACTTTACATTTTATTTGTAATTTTTAACTTATTAAAGATTAATGATCTAAATATTAAACTTTTCTGGAAAACAAGAAAGAATATTTTTCAAGACATTTTATATTGATGATTACTTAACATGGTAAGTTTGATAAAAATTTTTTGAGGTAAATATTTTGCCACGAAAATATACACATTCCGTAAGATAATTACAATATATGCTTTCCTTAAGATAATTACAATATATATATTGTAATATATATATTGTAATATATATATATATATATATATATATATATATATATATATATATATATATATATATATATATATATATATATATATATATATATATATATATATATATATATATATATATATATATATATATATATATATATATATATATATATATATATATATATATATATATATATACATATGTATATATATATATATATATATATATATATATATATATATATATATATATATATATATATATATATATATATATATATATATATATATATATATATGTATATATATATATATATATATATATATATATATATATATATATATATATATATATATATATATATATATATATATATATATATATATATATATATATATCTTCCGGAATGCATATGTGCATTCCGTGTGATAATTACAATATGTACTGATAGCAGGAGCAAAAAGAAGACATAGTGCGTCCTATCATCAAACCCAATATAATTTATGTAAATATAAAGAGAAAAAATTTTGTACACTATAAAAAATAAAACAAAAAAAAAGTCCAAAAGGTTTGAAAATATGGAATTAAAACATGGAAATATTTTCCATTTATTATTGCGTAATCAAAATTTTTTTTATTAGGTTAGAGGACATATCGGGACAGTGGGGCATAACGGGACAGTTATGTCTGTTATATCTCAGCTAAAAATAATTTTTTTTTTCAATTTTTTTATTTTTTAATAGAACATGATAAAATTATTGTGGTTCATTATTGTAAAAAAAAAATTAATTTTAGAAACACCAAAATGCATTAAAAGTACCAAAATGCATCAGTAAATTTGCGAAAAACGAAATTTAAATCTTTTGTCGTTGTATCAAAAATTTTTGATGATAAAAAAAAAAAAAGTCAAAAAAAAATAATAATAAATAAATAAATAAAATTTTTTTTTTTTTTTTTTTTATAATTATTTTTAGACTCTGGCCCATAAAAAGGCCTCCAAAAACAAAAATAGCCCCGTGCTCCAAGAACTCTTAATCCGCCACTGACTATTACTATCTAAAGTAATACAATGATAAATAGTTTATATTGAACTACTGCTAATTTTCTTCGTTTATAAAATGTTTATATTTTTCAGACAGTAAATTTTTATCCTATTTTAGTATCTCGTTTTAAAAAATATCTGGAATTGAACATTTTAAATAGTATTAACTTTAGTAAAATGGCTTACTAACATTTCGTGATGCTGTTTACAGTTTGATGATTTTATTTTTAATCTAAAATATTATTTTCCTTAGAAAAGCAATATTTGTAATAAATTCAAAAAAACTGTTATTTTTATAATATAAACTTCTATTATTAATATTGTTTAATGTATTTAACAACGATGGTATATAAAAAAGATTTATCATTCGAAATGGGATGAAATGCAGTTTTTATCTGTAAGTTAAAGAAACTTAGAATTGGAAAAGCTTCTGATACATATGCTTTATTTGAGTTTGCTCTATATTGTAATATTGCTAATAATCTCATCAAATTTATTGCCAAATAGTTTCAGGATATTTTTGGTATAATTTATGTGATCCATAATATTTTTTGTTTAGTTCTAAATTTAGTAGTATTTATCAATTTTATAATAAATAGGTTAGGATAGAGCGGAGGTCTTTTATAATATAACAAAAAAAAAAATTATTTTAGTTGTTATTTATTTTTTGTCGTGTATGGGTGTAGGGTGTAGTAGTGTATGGGTGTAGGGTATGTGTAGTTTATACGTGTCTGAAATTGTTTAAATAATAGAGAGCTTTCATTTTTTTATCATCTTAAAAGCTTTACATGAAAGGATAACTGCTACTTTTTAACTGCCTTATTTTTCCCCATCCACTTTCAAAATGTAAAAATTTTATTAGTCCAGAGTTTCGCTACTTTGTTTCTCATAGCTTATTTTAGAATTTTTTTTTCTTTTCGTTTTCTTATATCAATGAATTTTAGGAAAAATAGTGTTAACTGTGATTAGTTTATTTGCAATAATCTTAAGTATCCCTACATGCCCCGCTCTAAAGTAAATTTTAAACAACAAAAAACAAACAAAAAACCAAATAAATATTGCTTAAAAGTAACTATTTAAGCCTTTCCTCATAAAACTATTTTTTCTATTTGTAAAATTATTTATTTTTAGATATTTCAAATATGATTGTATAATCATAAACTTATATCATACAACCTAAGAAATAGCTTTGCAATATATCATACAACCTAAGAAATAGCTTTGCAATATATCATACAACCTAAGAAAAAGCTTTGCAATATATCATACAACCTAAGAAATAGCTTTACAATATATCATACAACCTAAGAAATAGCTTTGTAATATATCATACAACCTTAGAAATAGCTTTGCAATATATGGTTATCTTAATCATATATAGAGTGGCCTATGGCAAGCCGGGCCGCTACAAATAGGGAGGAGGTGATTTAGGTTTTTTGCCGACTAAAAATGAAAAAAAGGTCCTCTCATTTCCCAAAATGCTGGCTGGAGATTTTTTCATTTCCCATTTTGCCGACTGAATCTAAAAGGTTACAATTTGACTGAAAGTAAAAAAGGTCCAAATTTGATAACTAATGGTTGCCAAATAATATATAAAAACGCATTGAATGGGGAGGTGTCACACCTTCCTCACCTCATTTGCAAGTGACTATGTAGAAATAAATGTAGATATAAGCTATAGATTACAATATCTTGTTCTACCATGGAACAGTTTTCCTGCAATAACTAGGTTATACTTTTTATTACAATGACAATTAGTTTTAGAAAAAATACCTTGAGCTAGTCTAACAAGACCAGTAATGACAAGAATTGCTATTGCGAGCAACTTTGCAGCTGTAAAAACAATTTGAATTGTTGTTGCCCATCGAGTACTTGCACAGTTTATAACAATTATCACACCTAAAATATAGATAATCTTTAATTTTATCTTGTTTTTAATTTTTTTTTAAACATCTGTGAAATAGAAGTTGCGCGAAGTAATAATTTTTTATACATTTTTAGTTAAATGTATATTTTAATTTTTTGTTAGATATATCTTTATTTTTTTTCAATTAATTTTATTTTGTATTAAGCGCTTAAACAATATAAATGTTTATTTTTTTTAGTGCACCTTATTATTCTTATGTCCCACTTATTTCAGCAATATCCTAGAATAAATAAACGTACTTTGTTGACCAAACATGCTCTGTTTTAAAACACAAAAACTTTTAAAATAACAATGCTCAAAAGATCTAGTTTTGAAAATGTTACAATCCATTCATAACCACATTTAATTTAAATACAAAGTTAAAACTTGTATTTAAAAAATATGAAATCCTACCTAAAAAAAATGCTGCAAGATATTTTGAAATTAATTGTTTTTCTTCAAGATTGCAACCATCAGAAAAAAATGGTTCTACCATATAGCTTCCACTGGCTAATAAAATTGCAGCTAGAGAGGCTGGTCTTAAAAAAAAAGTTGACGCGTAAACTAATAAAAAAGCTGGTAACTCTCCAAATGCTTCTAAATAATAGCTGTATTCTCCGCCTGAGAGTTGAATCATTGTACCCAACTCTACATAGCATAAAGATATCAATGCAACAAGTACACCTGAACCAGTCCAAATTATAAGCGCCATTCCAGGACTACCCGAATTAATAAACACACTACTAGTTGAAGCAAATATACCACTTCCAATCATTGTACCAACAATTAGTGATACGCAACCAAGCAGTCCAACTTTATGTTTAGGATTTATGCTGTCTTTGCATATCGGATCGCTTGAGCTTGCTAAATTACCATTGCTATTTAAAATATTAGATAATGGTATGTCATTTGATGAAGACATTTTAACTTGGCAAACTAACTCATAAACTTTAATCTGACTTTAAGGTTACGGGTATTTCAACTGTACTTATAAGCTCTATTGTTTGTCGTATACATTTGATTTGTTGACGTCTTCCTATAAACAAACATTTGCTATGAAAGAAAATTTTAAATTTTTCATCAAAAGTTTTTTTAATAATAATAAAAGTAATGTTAAAATAAAAACAATTATAATAATAACAATGTAACAATAATAGCTATTTGAATTTGTATTCAAAGTATGTAGAGATTTTAAAAATATTTTCGGTCATCTTTTTAAAATCCAGATTTGCATAAATACCATTGGAAAAGTATGCGACAGAATACTAGCAAAAATTAAACAACTTTCTATTTTTACTTACTTCATTCTTTTTATTTTTATGCAAAATGTACATTCATTGACTCATATAGCCATAGAAACAGCATTGTATATATCAACAGATATAACCATAGACGAGTGTACGTACATCGACAGATAAAACCATAGGTGAGTGTACGTAGATTGGTTGATAAATATAAGCAAATATACATACATCGGCTGATATAACCAAAGGCGAGTGTGCGTAGCGCAACTGATAACTATAGGAGAGTGTACGTACATTGCCTTATATTACTATAGGCGAGTGTACACACATCAACTGATATATCCATGGGGAAGTGTACGTAAATAGACTGTGAGCTTTTTTTCGTTTGGGCAGACATTCTTTTGATTAAATAAAAAAGGTTTTCTTACTTTCTGGTTCATACTTTTTAGTGTTATGTTAAAAGCAACATAAAAAATGTTTGTTAGATTTGAAACTAATTAAAAAAATAGAAATAAGTGTTAAAATAATGATGTCTCCAAGGAATTCAAAAGAACATTAAAGCTATCATTACAACTTAGAACATTTAAGCTATCATTATTAATACTCGAGTATTAATAAAACGTATTTTTAAAAATATAAAAGAAGATCTTCTTTTATTCATATGTTATGTTCTTAACTTTTAAATAAGTGATTCTTTAAAATGTGGTTTTCGTTTAACCTAAAGGATATTATCAATCTAAAAGACTCTTTTTGAAAACACTATACTGCGAAGATAAACCGCAGTTATTAAGAGATATTGTTGGTCGGTTACCGTGAAATTGGTATTTACTTTGCTAAAAGTATTTAATTTTTTTCATCTAAAGAGCACCTTCCTGTAATTTTAAATCATTCGTTGTTTACAAATTTGTTTATGCGTGATGTAAATCCTGTTATATTGGCGAAACTACTCGCCACTTAAAGATACGAGTGATTGAACAGAAGAGATAAAAACTCTTATTTATAAACGTCTTTACTCATAAGAAAAATGTTTTATTAATTATAGTGATGAATGCTTTTCGACTTTAAATCGTGTCAATAACAAAATTGAATTAAAAATAAAATAAAGTTGGTAAAAAGATGGAAAAACCCGGTATGAAAGAACAAGTCAATCGTGTTAAAATATTTTTTTTTGTTTTTGTTGTACTTGACATTTGTTAAGATGATTTTTAATAATTTTTTTTTGTATATATAGGAAGTTTGTCCATCAATGTTATGGCTTTTATTAGGTTTACTTTTACAATTTTGAGAGAAACTCACTTTTATACCGTTTTTAATAAACATGTTTTAATTATATGTAGTCGAAAAAAGTCTTGAACTAAAATATTGAAATATATTTTAATAAAATTATATATATCGGTTAAAGTTTAACCCAGATATTCTTCTAACAAACTTTCTTATACAAAAATTTATCGGAAAGTAGAGTTTAAGTTTATTTCCCTTGTTTTTTGTTTGTTCTTTATTTATGTTTGTAATGGTAAAATAATCGAAAATTTTTTATTTTTTCAGACACTATTTAACATTCTTTAACAACCCATTTTACTACTAATATAAGTTTATTCAAGTTTGCTAATTATACTATATAGGAAACTTTTATTTTGAAAAACTAGCCAAAGACTTAGGTCTTACCAAGTTAAAAGTTTTTTATATCCAGAATCAAAGAGTGAAATTATATTTCATCCCGGAATCTCAAAGTAGTGTTGCTTTGCAACAGAAATAATTACGCATTCATTTCGATGGCACATTTTGTGCATCTCAAAGAGTTACAACACCAGTGTCAAGATGTTGCATTGAAGTATGACAATTATCATCGGAGGTTATCGGAAGCTTCAGAATTTCTGTTACTCTTATTTTGCCTTTAACCCAGTAAACACAGAAACGTATAATAAACGTGTTATTTACGTTTTACGGGGCACGTGTTTTTAACGTAGAAAAGTTGTCTATATGAAATAAGCTTTTCACGTATTTCTAGGACGTGTTTTACACGTTTAATTGAAACCTATTTTAAACGATTTTTAGACGTTTATTAAACGTTTTATTCACCTTTTTTGACACCTGTATTTAGGGTGGCAAAATCCTCTATTTGAAATAAGCTTTTCACAAGCTTTTCTCATTAAAACCTATTTTAAACGGGTTTTTTTTGCGTTTTTATTAGACGGTAATAATATATATTTGACTCGAAATATTTAAAAACGGACAATTTTTGATGAGTATAAGTGGCAGTAAAAAGCTTTGCGTATATATAAAAAAAGTATAAAAGATATATTTTTTATTTCATTAGTTAAAAAAACAAAAATACAAACAAAAATTTTATATATATATATATATATATATATATATTATATATATATATATATATATATACACACATACAAAATATATATTGTTGTTGTAATTTACATTACAACAATGTCACATCGTTCAGGTTATCTACGGTTCGAGGTGAAAACATTAATTCTCCAAGTTCACCAATAAAAGAATCGATATCCAGAAGATTTAATGGAATCGATATCTCTTGCCAAATTTGTTTGATACTACTGCAGCTAAAACGAAATTATAGTAAATCAAATCAAATAATGAAACTAGTAAATGACACTAATAATCAGAATAATATTTTGTCATAGAACAAAATTTGTTTTTACATGTATAATACTTAAGTAAATATTTAGACTTTACCAAAAGATTTTAATATTTACCGAAACTCGCTTCGCCGAATCTTTTTAAACTTTTGCACTGATTTCCTAATTATACACTCTTCAACGAAAAAGACAAGTCTCGTTATTGCACTTATTGCTGATTTACAAAGATGTTTTCCTACCAAGTTGTTTTAAGCATTTTGTTTAAATAAAAATAGGTGTTGTAATGTAAACAATTTATTTGTCTACTTTAACACACTACTTAATAACTCTTATGAACAAATTTATACCTGGTAAATAATCTCAACGATTAACAAGAAACAAAAATGTATATACAAAATTTAAGTATTAAAAACATTAGAATAAGTATATTTTATAGTATGAATAACATTTTTTTACTTAATAAAAGTAACAGTACTTTAAAAAATTCATTTACATACAAACTTGATTTTCCCAGTAAAAATTACATAAAAAAATAATAGAAAAACCCTAGACTTGCCACCTTTATCATTCTTTATCCGTAACCTAATGAAATTGAGAATACACTTATATTAGAATTATCATGCCCTACAGAGACACAACTTTATCATTAATAGCACTAAAAAAAATATTAACCTTCATTTTAGTTGCTGCCTTGTTTTTGAAAGCATCAGATTCTTCAAGTGAGTGACATTTATCTCTTAAAAGCGAAAAACTTTTTGGCTCAGTTCTCCATCCTAGCCTTTTAAGCGCAGTAACAATATGTTCTTGGGTTGATTTAACTTCTGCTAAATCCAACCTGTAAGTAAAAAGGACATACTTATTATCCTAATATCAAACATTTTTATTAATTTATAACCTAAAGGCCGTTGTGACACTACAGTCAAGGCTAATAATTTACCCAAAACATGAACGGCTTTGTGTGGAGAAGCAAGTTGAGTGCTTCCAGAGGTGTGGAGGCGGTTCATTAGCAAATCTATTGATTAAGAGTAAGTACCGGAGTATATATAAGTTATAAATCAGTTCTACTTCAGCTTTTGTGCAGTTCTTATGGCATTGATTTAATTTCTAATTTTTGATTTTGCTTATGGGGTGATTAGTTAATTTTCTCAGTTTTAAATCAGTTCACAATAGTTCAGTTCTTGATATTAATATTTTTCTATCTTATTTTAGTTCTTAATCCATTTATTAACTGAATTAGGATCTGAAATATGAGGGGAAATATAGATATCAAGAACTGAATTGATATATTAATTTTAAGAGAACTGATTTGTAAATGAAATTTCATTTTTGATTTATTGAGGAATTATTTTATGAGTGGAACCTGAATTGAAAATTAAATAAATGCTATAAGAACTACATATATATATACAAAAAACTAAAACAAAACTGATTTCGAACTTAAATATCACTTGCAAATACTCAACCAAACTATAGGCAATTTTATAATACAACAAGGTATAAATGTGTAACATCAAAAATAGAATATGCATCAGCAACATGATGCATATCATAATATAATAGTGCATAATTATTATACATCGCAATCGCCATTAAAATCATTAAAAAAATATCATGGTGAGTAATAGTGTGTAAATAATATTTATTTCACAAAAGTACATATGTAAGACTATTATAATATATAAGATAATTAAACTTACATAATTCATCCATGCATTTAGAGAATGGCGGTTTTCCATAGTTGCCAAGAAGAGTATTTCTATCTCTATCCACTCTAATTAGTTCTTAAAGCCTTTGTTACAGGCTAAACTTGACTTACAGGCAAGGCACATAAGGTTACAAATGAAATAGAAAATACCTTGTTCTACAAATTCACGAAGACAATTTAGAATCAAGTTGTCTACAGCCATTGCACATGTTTCTAGTTCTTTTTTCCAACAAGATTTTGATTAAATTAAATTCTTCCTCTGACGTGTCTGGTAGCCATTGAACTAATTTCTCAACTTCATCTACTCAATACAAGAGCAATAGACATTTCTTCACTAATTTATTTGTATTTCCTTTTTATTTACTACAAAACAAAACCTTTTGATTGCACAAAATACAAAGTTTAGCCATAACACATACTCA